GATGGATATTTTGAAAATGGATCCATATTTTGCGATTGTATTACTTCTTATCAATTTAATTAGAATGTGCATTTTAATGCGCTACTTGTAATAATTCTTCATAGAATTGTAACAAATGTAAAGGAAATAGAATTCAAGAACCTTAATGCATTTGTTAACCAGGCTATTTTGATGATCAATTAAATGAAGATTGTTAATTATGTGATAGTTCCTGCTTGGAATGTAATAAAATTGGATGTTTATCTTGTAATGCCAATAGAATAATAAATGATGATATGGATTGCGTGCCTCCACCGAATTCAATTTGGTATGATAGTACTCCTTGGTGTTCAAGTAAGTTAATTCAATATGTTTATAGCTTGTTAGGTTGCAGTTATTAAAGCATATTTATCAGATGATATTAGTAAAATTATTATTCATTTTGATTTCCCTTTAAATTCAAAGGCATTTAACTCATAATTTGAATTAAATAAATGTTTGTAGTTATTTGAATTAGAATCTGTTTCAAGCTTTGGTTTAAATTGCAACTGTTTTCTTAATCCAGATGATAATCAACAATTATTAATATCATTAGGAGAAAACTCAAAAATAAATGTAGGTGATGAGTTATTATTTCTAAGTAATTCTTTATCTCATGTTAATTGTGAAACTACTTTAAACAAGTTTATTTTTCCAACATTATAATTGGCAATAAACCCTTTGGCTCCATAAATTGAATATAATGTACCTCTATATAAACTGAATCCTTATACATAAAACTCTGTTTACTTGAAATCAATAAAAAACCATGGATTTAGAAAATTAACTAATATTATTTGGACTTTTTAAGCAGAAACAAGTTAAAATGCAGAAGCCTTGAATGATTTCATTACTTAAATCAACTTACTTTAGGAATAGAATTTGCTCATACCTAAACTTACATTACCAGCCGATGCTATCCTTAAATTTAAAATCCAATATCAAAATTTCATCAGTATTCATTCATAATCAGAATTTACTATATAAACTCATTCAGGAAGCCTTCCATACATTGATATAACTGTAAAACCTTAATATTTCGTATATGAGACAATTATTGTAGGGTTATCTGTTAGCACTTTATATTAATCAAATTAAACTGATAGTTCAAAATATTTAATTGAAATTAGCGAAATTGATAGATATCCTAAAAGGTCCTTCTCTTCTCAATTAAATAAATCAATATAATCTAATTCTTTTGAAAAAAATCAAGCTAACATCCTAAAATATACTTTAAGTCCTAACACAACATATACATTCTAAGTCACAGCAACGAATTTAAATATAAATAAGGTTCAATAATAAAATTTGAGTATTTACATCCCATATGCTGGATTAATCTGCAAATTTAATAACAAAGGAATTCAGAGTATTAGAAAGGATCTCAATTTATAGATACTATGCAGAGATTTAGACACAGTATTTGAATGGAATACTGATCCAGATTTGTATGTCCAAGTAGGCTGTAAGGATTTAACTTTAAATAGTACTTGCATAAATTAATAAAAATAAATAATTAATGTCAATGTCACAGATACATTTTAGTTTATTAAAAAGAATTCAATTTCTTCTTTAACTGTGTAAGAATGGTAAGTCGTAGTAACCAAATTTGACTAAATTTACAAATTTACATAAATTATAGTCTTTCTTGAAGATGATTTCCCTGTTTTAGATTTGGAATTTAATTAGGGCTATTTAATGAGATAAGTTAATAATTATGAATAGCTCAATTTTACATTTCTTATCCCATTCAATTAAAAACCTTAGTTATTAGATCTATCAATTGCGCTTATATACAACTATCAGATAATAACAATACTGTAGCCTAAATATTTCTCTCATTAATTTAAGTTATTTAATAGTCTATAAGAATTAAAATTGGGCAATAGTATTAATATTAAATTTACAGCATAATATACAAATAATATCATGCCTAGTCTTAATACCATAAAACTAACTATTAATCAATCCCCTATCTGTTCAAAATTAACTATTACTCGCTCTAGTGATTTAGCACTTACAAATATGATGGTTACTACTAGTTGTTAATACTCAGATGATTCTCCTTATAAATATGAACTTAGAGTGTTTTTGAGAGAACAAGATTTACCAGATTTTTTGAATGGTTCATCTGATAATTCCTTAATTCTTTATCCATATTAATCATAAACTCAATTTTAGATTTAAATTCCTACTTCAGTAGATTCTTCAAAGATTGGACTTTTATTATAAGTGCTTGATTAAGGAGGGTCAATAACTCCTATTTATGAGTTGATTACTTCATCCCCTGCAAAAATAAATTGCTCCTTTATTTCATTTACAAATTTGAATTTACAAAGCAAAATTTCATTGTTATTTGAAGCATTGAATTAAAAATGTAATGAGAAATGTAATGAGTTGCATAATTAAATTTACCTTGATTTGCTTTACCAATAAATTTTGCCTGATTAGAATGATAACATCCTAAAATTTTAGGCCATAAAATTATATAGGTAGTTTTTAATCTGGTTTGGATAGGCTAAACCTAAAAATCGTTTATTATTTGAATAAAATTAAAAAGGATGCTATGATAAAAATTCAACTCATTTCTTTATTACATAGAATTAGGATGAATCTAATTCTAATTCAACAACAAAGATAGAAGAGCTGTAAGATAATGTTAAGAAATTAGATTCATCATTTAAATATTTTAGCGGAATGAAAAAGCAAAGTTAAGAGGGGCTCAATTAGAATAATTACGTTTGGAATTAAGAACTTTTCTAATAACTATAAAACTTCTAAGGAGGTTTAATCAATCTATTATACTTTGTTGATGAATTGTATTCTAATTTTTTATCAGCAAATACAACAAATGCAAATATTTACACAAGCATTGTTGAATTGTTAAAGTATAAAAGTTCAATAAGAGAAGAAATATAGAATTCTATTCTTGTTAACGACTAACCATTATATATTGAGGGGAAAGATATGATTTTTTAATTAAAAAAGAGAACAAAAAAGATCTTCAATTAATAATTTAATATTGAACCAGCTTTTGAAGATTCTCTAATAGATTTTATTCAATATGAATCAACATTTCTTTCTATAAATCCTTTAATATTCAGTCCAGAGTAAGATTAAATTCTCTAATAGCATTTTAATGACAAAACTATGCAAATATTGTCAGATAATTACTATTTAATAAAATTATTCAATGTTATTAAAAACAAATATATAAACTATGAAAATATTTCATCTTAGTTTGGCACCAAGTTTGGAACATATGAGACTTGTTCAAACTAATCATAAAAAAATAAAGAATATGAGATATTGTGTATTTCAAGAACAGTCTTTGGAGGATTCCATAAATGTAATTTAAATAAAGTAGAAAAAAACGAAACTATTGAATTAACTTGTGAATGTAAAAGTTTGGGGGAAATATTTTTAATTTCTTCTACAAATTTTAGTTTTGTAGAAGTATTTAATAATAGCACAGATGAAACTGCTTTTGATATCACTTCATTCTAAGATGATTTCTTAATTTTAATCATTTTTACAGGTTCCTTGACTCTAATACTTTTTGGAATTTATATTTTTTAATTAATCAGGGACTTTAGAGATAGATCAGATGAAGAAATGTTATAAGAAGTTTGTAGCGAGAAGGGACAGGTAAATAAAATGATCTACAAAGGAAATTCTACAATTTTCAAATAAAAATTCAAAGTATATTTTTAATGTAATTATTAGGAAATTCATCAAGTCATCTCACTTGCTAACTATAAAGACTAATAAATTAAATTTAGTTATAGAATATTGGAAGTCATTTCCGAAATTAATTTATTGTTAACTTTTAATATTGTTGAGTTTTATTTATAAAGTATTAACATACCCCTGATATTTGCTTTTATGATCATTAACCCTATTATTGTTTTTATTCTGAGAATAGTTTATAAAATTATTGAAGCTATATATAGATTCAGAAGTATTCCTGCTATTATTAGTTCGTTGATTCTTATCATATTATTGATATTGCCGAATATCATTCTCTTTATTATTCACAGAATTAGGTAATTATCAACTATAATTTAGATTGGAAGCTCAATCAGAAATATATTTAATGGCTATTATCTTTTTGGCGAATATTCTAGTTTCATAAACTATAATTGAAGCAATTTCAATATTTGGAAGAATTGCAGTTTATAGATTAATAGCCTTAAGCCTCAAATAAATGGAATTTAACCCATTATTTCATTTGATGCATTTTTTTGTTATACACAGCAGTCTAGAAGATATTTTTGACGAGTTCTAAAAAATTTGAAATGGTATATTGAGTTATTGGAGTTGTAATAAATCTATTTAATACTTGTTTTTTTTAATGCGAATGTTAATGAAAAAGAAAAAGGAAAGGTGTTCTATAAATTTGAAAATATTTTTAGTTGATTAGTTTATAAATGAATGTGTTTTGAGGATTTATTTGATATTACAAAAAAATTGTCAGAAATAGATTCAATTCAAAAATATTTATTAGATTATTTTTTGATTTTCTGGACAATTACCATAATTTTCGAAATTTTCATAGTTAAGAAGGAGTATATGATTAATGTTATTTTGAAATTCAATAAAAATTAAATTACTTAATTGTGATTGATAATGATTAGGAAATCGATGAGACAAGACTACATCAAGATGTTCCAAAAATCACACAAGCTCTTACTTAGACCAATATTTTGGGAAGAAAATATTAATTATGCTCTAATTATGGTAATCCAATCTACAGTAGTGCTCATATAAATACTTTCGAAATAATTTGATCTCTTATTGAAATAAATTAACCAAACCTGAGCATAACTTAAGCACTGATGGTAGACAAAATAAAAACGATTATATTTTAAAGAAAGCTAAGAAAAAGTCAGCATATATTATATATTTTGTGAGAAATAGATATTAAATAATGAAGAAAAAATAAAGGCATATTAAAAACAGACCTTGTTACAGAATCTGAGTAATGAAGAAATAATGACCACACATAATCAAGATTTTTAAGCTAACGCATCACCTTAACGAATTAGCTAATAAATATTGCAGTCGAAAAAGATCGAAGTAAAAAAAGCAGGTTAAACAATCTAAGCCTTAATATAATGCACAGGACTCCGATATTGATAACTCTTTAGCATCGGAAGAACACTAGGATGACACCCTAAATGGTATCCATTTATTTTGTGAATAGCGTGGATCTGGTCTTTATAAAAAAAAGCCTCATATTATAAACACATACGTTAAAAGCACTTAAGAAAAGCTCGAATCAAAAACAAGTATAAAAAAGTTTGAATTAAAGCAAAATGATGATGTGAATTGAATTAACAATTGAACATTACATTACAAACCCCATCAACGAATATGAAAACAGAAAATAGATTCCAAAATCTTTAATCATTCTAAGCTGGAATGTAGGTTTAATTAAGGCAAATGCATTCAAAGAAATTAAGTTATTAAAACCACATACTTTAAGAAGTGAGGAATAAGGCAATAAGATATTGTGAAATATAAATATTTGATAATAAAAGAAAAGGATAAGCTAGGTATCTAATTGGGAATTCATTAGCAATTTAATAGTAGATATAAAAAATCTTAGTTAAAAAGATACGAATAATGAATATGAACCTAATCTTCTGATTTATCCACATTGTAAATACAATCATATAATTGATAGTTATGAATATCTACTTTCATAACTCAAGGGAATTTACTTAATATAAACACGAATTCCCAGAAATAGTTGGATCAATACTTAGTAGATTAGGAAATTATGTGAAATTAGTGATTTGTGGGGACTTCAATACCCCAATCTTACAAAATAGTAGACTCAGAGACCTATTGTTTAAACAAATCACTTTCAGAAGATAATTATCAAATAAATATATATCATCCTATACTGATTGAAAGCCCACTATCAATTTCCTTAAGTATAAAATCAATTTTATTAAATATAAACTCATACATTTAACAAAGAATATGAGTTTCAAATAACAGTGGCAGTGTATTATATCTAGAGTGAACCACGTTTTCTCCATTGTTCAGTTAGTTTCATTTAACACTTCTTACAAAGTAATAGAACTACTGCTTTTAGATAAACCTTAGTTGTAAAGAATAACATAGCTGAAACCATCACAAAAAATCTATAGTAGCTAAATAATATCAAATTAAAATTAATCTTACTTTTCCACAATAAAATCTAAGGTTAGAACTCAAAAAAATATGAAATTCACCTGATAATCTCGACCTAATATTCAAACTTATATGGAAATGATGCCAGATCATATGAATCTAAAAGCCATGAAAAGGAAAGATGAAACCTGCAAAAATTAATCAATTAATTATAAATTGTGTTTGGAATGACTAATGATAATAAAAATTTGTTAATAATAATGATCTAATCGATAAGTAGGTCTTAGAGATATTATTTTGTAAAAAATATTATAATAAATTTGATTCATACAAAAAAAATCAAAATGATAATACATAAAGAGTAAAAAATTGATTGAAAATCATAATGTATTCATTCATAGTATAAAATTATCTAAGTTATAATTATTCATTATTCTTAAATCAATTAGATTAAATATAAAACTAATATATATAACCACTTTCATTTAATTTGATTATATCTCCGATATATTATGTTCTTATGAATTCTCACATGCATTCTAATTTGAATAATACTTTAACTATAATCCAAGAGTTTAGTCATTTTTAAATAGCCATTACACAAACCATTTAATTGATAGAAATTATAGTAAATTTATATTGATTACAAAGAATTAAAGGATCAATAAGTATTCGAAGCATGAATATTACCAATTTAATATTGGTTACACATTTTAAATAATGTTGTTGGTTTTCAGATTTTGTTAATAAAAATGAATAGTTATAATTTATATAATGAGTAATTCATAAATCTACTTTTTCCAAAAATTATCATTATAATTTCAGGTATTCTTAAAAATAAGAATACGATGCCAATGCATAATAACATAGCTGCAATAATAGAATCATCAATAGCTAAATAATTAGACTAAAATTTGAATTATAATTTTACAATAACAAGTTTAGTATCATGGGTGATGTAGCCTCCATATATAATGATACATAGTACATATGAATCAATGGAACCAAATATTTTGAACGAATAGGCCAATTATGTACATAAACAATAAACTCATACTTTAAATAATAAGTAATATGTATTTGATTGTAAGTTAAATTTTCATTATGGCATAGACTTTGAAAATGAATCCAACTCGAATATTGGAATCAAACCAATATATTCTGAATCACTGATCGTCATAGGATTATTGAATGCAGCATGATTAGAATTTCCAATTTGATAGGCAAGTTGTGGTTATTTATTATTTTAATCAAAGGGATTTTATTAAAAAGGAGTTTTGTTAATTGTGTTGAAGTTATTGATTTGGATTATCAAAGTAAGATCTATTGTTGTTGGTGATCATATAAAACTATCAATATAATAATGATATAAATAACATAACATACAAATTCAATTGATTTATTTATATTGTAATTGCATCATTGATCATATTACTCATTTTTCTATTTTTCTATTTTTCTATTCAATTTATGCTGNATCTATAGTAGCTAAATAATATCAAATTAAAATTAATCTTACTTTTCCACAATAAAATCTAAGGTTAGAACTCAAAAAAATATGAAATTCACCTGATAATCTCGACCTAATATTCAAACTTATATGGAAATGATGCCAGATCATATGAATCTAAAAGCCATGAAAAGGAAAGATGAAACCTGCAAAAATTAATCAATTAATTATAAATTGTGTTTGGAATGACTAATGATAATAAAAATTTGTTAATAATAATGATCTAATCGATAAGTAGGTCTTAGAGATATTATTTTGTAAAAAATATTATAATAAATTTGATTCATACAAAAAAAATCAAAATGATAATACATAAAGAGTAAAAAATTGATTGAAAATCATAATGTATTCATTCATAGTATAAAATTATCTAAGTTATAATTATTCATTATTCTTAAATCAATTAGATTAAATATAAAACTAATATATATAACCACTTTCATTTAATTTGATTATATCTCCGATATATTATGTTCTTATGAATTCTCACATGCATTCTAATTTGAATAATACTTTAACTATAATCCAAGAGTTTAGTCATTTTTAAATAGCCATTACACAAACCATTTAATTGATAGAAATTATAGTAAATTTATATTGATTACAAAGAATTAAAGGATCAATAAGTATTCGAAGCATGAATATTACCAATTTAATATTGGTTACACATTTTAAATAATGTTGTTGGTTTTCAGATTTTGTTAATAAAAATGAATAGTTATAATTTATATAATGAGTAATTCATAAATCTACTTTTTCCAAAAATTATCATTATAATTTCAGGTATTCTTAAAAATAAGAATACGATGCCAATGCATAATAACATAGCTGCAATAATAGAATCATCAATAGCTAAATAATTAGACTAAAATTTGAATTATAATTTTACAATAACAAGTTTAGTATCATGGGTGATGTAGCCTCCATATATAATGATACATAGTACATATGAATCAATGGAACCAAATATTTTGAACGAATAGGCCAATTATGTACATAAACAATAAACTCATACTTTAAATAATAAGTAATATGTATTTGATTGTAAGTTAAATTTTCATTATGGCATAGACTTTGAAAATGAATCCAACTCGAATATTGGAATCAAACCAATATATTCTGAATCACTGATCGTCATAGGATTATTGAATGCAGCATGATTAGAATTTCCAATTTGATAGGCAAGTTGTGGTTATTTATTATTTTAATCAAAGGGATTTTATTAAAAAGGAGTTTTGTTAATTGTGTTGAAGTTATTGATTTGGATTATCAAAGTAAGATCTATTGTTGTTGGTGATCATATAAAACTATCAATATAATAATGATATAAATAACATAACATACAAATTCAATTGATTTATTTATATTGTAATTGCATCATTGATCATATTACTCATTTTTCTATTTTTCTATTTTTCTATTCAATTTATGCTGTATACTTTGATCTTGAATATCAATTATATAAAGTGAAACAAACTCAGTGATTTTATATTATAATAATTTATTGAATCATAGCATGCAAATATTGATTCTATTACTTTGAGTTAAGTGCTCACCTATATTAACTAAAAAGAACTCCTCTTTTTATTGCTATTTTCACTGAATTAGACAACTCAATTAATTTGATATATGTTAGACAATAAATGATAATATTAATTGAAAGAAATATGAGCATCTAAAAGAACTTATTTACCTGGTACCTCTTAAAATTTAAAACTGATTTGAACTTGAAACTCTTATTTTTCAATTATTATTATTTTAAGGTTATAAAGAAACGAAACTGTATATCCAAAAGATTTCTGAAATATCTTAGGTTCCAATATATTATTTAACTATAATTGAAAATCCAAAAATTCATTTAAAAAGTTCTTTTTTCTCAAAATAATAAATCAATAATTGCAAAGAAGAATTGATTATTTGTTTTGAAAAATTTACATTTTGAAATAATCTGAAACTAGTAAAATAACATATTCATTTTTTTATAATCATTTATGAAGATAAAAGTGTGTGTCAACTTCTAGTGATACTGCTTAAAAGATATTTTTGATATCAGATTATTCTTTTTTTTGGTTTTTGTGTTGATGGAAAGCTAACATTTATTGATTATTAAAGGGAGATGGATGTAAATTTTAAGGAAACCATATTCACACTCTTATACTTTAAGATTACATTTCTTTGAATGTTAACATTAGAAAAATGAAAATTTAGTACAAATATTAAATAGTAAGACCTAAATCTATTTCTTTATTACCTAAATAGAATTTTAAACAAATTGACATTCCAAATTTTCATTTGGGAATGAAATATTAATCTGAGATAGATCTACAAAAAATTGATGGTAAAAACTTCATCTTTATCTTACCTGCCTAAATCACTTATAAATATAAATTTTCATTTGTTATATCAGATACTAAATTGAAATTAATGCATAGAGAAGGTAGCATAGTTTATTTTTAATTCATTAGAAAATTTAAGATGATTTAAATAACAAAATAATTAATATTATAATAATGGGAAATATATTCATTTTTTTAAAACTTGTTTAATACCTTCAATAAAGTAAAGGTTATTAAATATTCTTCTATGATAAACTTTAATAGCACTCAAACTCAATTTTAATTATCGTTTTTTTTAAGAATATTTCAATTAAATATTCTTTAAAAAAAAAGATAAGTTTTAAAAAATTTCTTATGATTTGTGATATTAACTAAATTCTTATTAAAGATCTAAATACTAATTAAGGCTTATCTTTGATATATTTCTATCTTCTTTTGTTTTTACCTTATCTATTATATGACTAGATGATTAGGTGCTTATAGGTGAATTTTGGAATGTTTTAATTACCAAAGAGAATATGTTTAATAATTATTTAAATATTCAATATTGTTTATGACTCCATCATTTTTAGCTCTTTTCATCACAACTCTTTTTTTGAACATTTTAATTGGTTTGTCAGAAGAATGTGGCTTAAAAACGATTGAACCTTAGGAGAAATTCTTATCATCAAGATTAAATTCATTATTAATTGAGAGTGAAACAGAAGAATTAGAATCAACTAATATTGATTTAATTAGTGAATCATTAAGAATTTAATGCTTTTAAGATGAACATATAATCTCCACATTGACAATTGAATATTTTAAATTTAGATCTATTGAAGAATAATTATTCTGTAAATTTATAAGGAATGAAAACTATTATATCATTTGTATAAAAGTAATTGATTATTATGCAAATCATAGATTGAAAATTTTCAATGAATAGATTATTATATCAATTGAGCTTACCGAATTGAAAGGAATCGAATGTCACGAATTTTTAATTAATTCAGAATCACAATTTATATTATTTTGTTTTCAAAACTTTCATTTGTAAATATACTGCATTGATACTGATAATAAATTAAATTTACTATCATAATATGAAATCAACTAATAATAATATGAAATTTGTAAAAGGAAATATATCAAATTTGATGATAATTATTATATTATAACTTTCTATTAATGTAAAAATTGGGGGCTGTTTATTTATCAGTAATAGGAAATTTAAGAGTTAGTAAATGAAGATCTAGCAAAATCTAATTAAATAACATATTTAGAGAATGCTTAGATTTGCTAATAGCGTCTTTATTTGGTTCTTGATATTGGGTATTATTAATATTTTTTTAACAAAACGAGATAATTTGAGTTTGCAATATTTTTTGAGTTTCCTGCACATTTTAGAAATCTTCTACTTTCATCAAATTGCCTCTCCTAGCATTACGTTCACTATAATTAATCAATTAATTCGACCATAATTTTTCATAACACCAAAAATTAGATAACATCGTTTGAAGGTACAGATGTATAATTTGAATAGTTGGAGAACATTATTATCGCGAAAACTCAAAACCAACTTAAAGTTATGTACAATTAAGAGTTTTAATAAATAATTTAACTAAATGCTTCACAAATAACTATTGATAATAATTATAATTTGATATATTGGTTTGATGAAATTGCTAAAGAACTAATTTTTTATAAAATTTCATATCCAAAAAATGTAATTACACCGTCTAAAAACTATATCTATATGGTTGGTGGTTTTTAAATTTACAACCAGACCAAATTTTGCATCAAAATTAAATACAAAATGGAAAACCAATACAATAAAAATTAGACTTTAGAATTCAATAATTAGTGTTAAAATAAATCCTCAATATTCTATAGTAAAGAAGATTTGCAATTACCCAATAAATATGAGATAAAACCTGATTAAAACTCAAAGTTTAGACTCAACATTTTAGATTAATACTCCTTTAAATCCCTGTGTCCAAAACTCTAAAACTTTAATCCTTAGGATACTATATTACTATATTATGAAGCCGATTCTAACATATCTTTTTCTATGATTCAAACTAAAGACTACATCTATTTCCAAAATTGTCATAATGCTACTAAAAGCAAAGTTGATATCTAAAATTGTTAGGTATTTTATTTTTAAAGTTATCTCCTCCTATATAATAAAAATAAATAAGAATTCAACATTATAGACTTTTAGGGTAAATTAATTAAAAGATTTAAGATCTAAGTTGAAATTACTTAAATTCTTTAATGTTAATAAATTATTTTAATTTTTGCATCAGATGGTAAAGATCCTAAAATAATTAATCTATAAAACCATTAATAAATATTATTGAACAATTAATCTAATAATATCTTAAATACATTACATTAAATTTATCTCTAAGACAAGCAAAAAAATTAGAAATTAACACATAGCCATTTTTTCCTTAATTTGAAAAACCCAACATTGATTTAGTATAATCAATATTTGATAATTTTAATTAACAAAAGGGTTAAAATGCTTATTTTAGAAAGCATATAAATTATTTTCTTAAAGTAACTGCTANTATTTAGAGAATGCTTAGATTTGCTAATAGCGTCTTTATTTGGTTCTTGATATTGGGTATTATTAATATTTTTTTAACAAAACGAGATAATTTGAGTTTGCAATATTTTTTGAGTTTCCTGCACATTTTAGAAATCTTCTACTTTCATCAAATTGCCTCTCCTAGCATTACGTTCACTATAATTAATCAATTAATTCGACCATAATTTTTCATAACACCAAAAATTAGATAACATCGTTTGAAGGTACAGATGTATAATTTGAATAGTTGGAGAACATTATTATCGCGAAAACTCAAAACCAACTTAAAGTTATGTACAATTAAGAGTTTTAATAAATAATTTAACTAAATGCTTCACAAATAACTATTGATAATAATTATAATTTGATATATTGGTTTGATGAAATTGCTAAAGAACTAATTTTTTATAAAATTTCATATCCAAAAAATGTAATTACACCGTCTAAAAACTATATCTATATGGTTGGTGGTTTTTAAATTTACAACCAGACCAAATTTTGCATCAAAATTAAATACAAAATGGAAAACCAATACAATAAAAATTAGACTTTAGAATTCAATAATTAGTGTTAAAATAAATCCTCAATATTCTATAGTAAAGAAGATTTGCAATTACCCAATAAATATGAGATAAAACCTGATTAAAACTCAAAGTTTAGACTCAACATTTTAGATTAATACTCCTTTAAATCCCTGTGTCCAAAACTCTAAAACTTTAATCCTTAGGATACTATATTACTATATTATGAAGCCGATTCTAACATATCTTTTTCTATGATTCAAACTAAAGACTACATCTATTTCCAAAATTGTCATAATGCTACTAAAAGCAAAGTTGATATCTAAAATTGTTAGGTATTTTATTTTTAAAGTTATCTCCTCCTATATAATAAAAATAAATAAGAATTCAACATTATAGACTTTTAGGGTAAATTAATTAAAAGATTTAAGATCTAAGTTGAAATTACTTAAATTCTTTAATGTTAATAAATTATTTTAATTTTTGCATCAGATGGTAAAGATCCTAAAATAATTAATCTATAAAACCATTAATAAATATTATTGAACAATTAATCTAATAATATCTTAAATACATTACATTAAATTTATCTCTAAGACAAGCAAAAAAATTAGAAATTAACACATAGCCATTTTTTCCTTAATTTGAAAAACCCAACATTGATTTAGTATAATCAATATTTGATAATTTTAATTAACAAAAGGGTTAAAATGCTTATTTTAGAAAGCATATAAATTATTTTCTTAAAGTAACTGCTAAATTAATATGATTATTTTGTGGGAGTACATTTAATCAGTAATTCAATAATTGATTATCATTTTGATAAATAATAAGTATTTGAGTAGTCTTCCATTAATTTAGACAATTATGAATTGATTTGACCTATAAGGTACTAGATTAGCTCAAAATATTTGGCTTTGGCAGCTTTAAGTCAAACCAAAACATATGTTTTAATAGTTGAGATTAGAATTAAAAAACCTCTTCTGTTGGTAAAAGCTATTCAGATAGGTAGAATTGAATTCTTTATCTCAGGATAATAATTGTTCTATTATAATTTTGAAAATGAAATTGAGATTTATAATTTGCGTTATTTTGAAGTTTAATTATAAGATTTCATCAAACATAATTAAATAGCTATAAACGCTAACGTTACTTTTGAAATTATTTCAGAAACGAAAAGAGACCCTGCAATTAGTTTAGGATTCACATTAAAGGGTTACAATGAATGCTTCAAATTGTTTTAAAAAAGTAATCATTCGTCTATAGATTCTACTTAAAAACAATTAATGCCTTATAAATACTTTTAGGGTCCTATAGACATATTAAAAATAGAGGGCAGTGATGGAACTAATATTCTTGAACCATTAATGTTAATTGAGTGGATTGATATCAGTAGTCTCGGTAATTAAAGTAAAATCAAGAAAATTGATATTGGTCCCATTCTATATAATAACTAGAGCTCTTAGATCTCTTAAATCGTAAATATAATATTAGCTGAGAATGGCTTTGGACAAACTTTTATTATCAATCGAATAAATTTATTATTTGCAAGAGTATTACCAATTAATCAACAGTAAATATTAATATTTTTTATGGATTAAGTTGAATCTCGATCTTTAAAGGGAGCTGTGTATTCGATTGATGAAGAATAATAATGTTTTGGGCAAAAACCTATATTAGAGATAAACATAACTTTGGAAATATCGCACAATGAATATAATTTTTTTAAAACTGGTGATCTAATAATAATTAAATCTAAATCTCATTTATTCCTCTATTTACTCCTGAAGTCTAGCATACAGCTTATTGAGAATAATTTAAATATTCTGGATATACTTAAAGTTTAAGGGAACAATTAATTTTACATATCTTTTTCTGAAGTAGGAGGAACATAAGATTATTAATTCAATATTCTCACTAGGAATGAATTGAATTTAGTTTCTACTGGAACAGCAATCCTATCACTATCAACCATTTTTATTGAATTATAAGCGTACATTCAAATTCTTTTAATTTATTCTGTGAGGGAAAAAAATTACATTAATTTATTAGAGTGTGAAATTATTGATTCGGATTTTAGAATTCTGGCTTATCAGATAATTAATCAAGTTCAGATAATAACTCAAATAGACATTAATATGGAAAATTATTCAATTTCTTTTAAAATGCACAAATTACTTAGCCATGGATTGGGAAATCATATGAATTTATAATTTTATAGTAAAAATTACCTTATTCTGAAATCAAAATCAAGTTCAGTCTACTTTTATGATTTAACTCAGCCATCAAATTTTATTGATCATTTTGGAAGAATCAGATAGAGTACTGATTTATATTATCCTTTTAATACTACACACTTATATATATACTAAGCAACTTCTAGTTAAATATTCTTGGGAGAATTAGGTTACAATTTTGATACTAAGATTCAACTTTTTGAAAATTAAACATTTACCTTGGTAGCTGAGAACTAGGTATCATAAGCTCGATGTAGTATAACCATTATTGACATTAGTTATCAATAAGTTGATAGCAAATTTTTAATAAAATTCCTATTTTATTTCTACTTATTTTAGTTTTTTATTTTCTTTTGAGAAGGATGCATTTAAAGCGTAAATAGTAAAACAATTAAAGACATCATTAAATTATTTCAAATACTTCAAATATTGAAGAATGACTTATAAACATTTATATATAAATATTTTATACATATAAGAAATTAAATAAATTCAAAAAATAATATCAATCCGTAACGGCGGAAGCCTATATTTTATTATTTTTGTTAATTCTTAAATAAAAATAGAATTTACTTTTTTTTTAATTTCTTATATAGTTCTACAGATAATGATTACAAAAACTAATCCTGTGGGGAAAGTTTCATGGTTTATAAATAATGATTGAGTTCATCATTAGTAAGCTCTTCATATTTCCTCCCAATAAAGTTTTCAATTTGACCAACATTCATCAATGGATTATTTGCAACAAAACCCTAAAAATTACAATTTTGGTACATGTTGCTTTAAATCAAGTGTTTTGAATTAATCTAAATCAGATTCGCTTAGTAGAATACTTTAATGTTGTGATAAAGCCTTGTGTTTTTTAAAAAACAATTTCTGGATGAAATAAAGAGTAAAAAAAATGATAATTTAAATTGATAACCAGATGATATCAGTATTACTCATGGATATATCATTTGACTAAGTATTTTCTAGTAAATCTACTGGCCTTTCTCCCATTAGGACATATTGAAGCATGCTTTAGATTATGGCAAATTGATTTAACAAGATCATATAGAAGGGTAGTTACACTATGATATGAGGATTATATTTATTGTCATTTGATTTTGAGTAGCGATTCAAATACAAATACTTTTATAAGTAGTAGGTTAAAATCAGGACAATAATGCATGCTGGTAGACAGATGGGGAGGAACTAGCTAAAGAGGATACTTGCAAAGATCAAAAAGTTCATAAAAGCAATTTTATCAGTCCAAGTTACACTTTCTTTTTCATAAAGTTAATTCAATTCATACTAAATGAGTTTACATTTGTTCATTCGATATTGATGCCATTTTCTTAAGAGTATGTTTAGGAAATAGGCAGCATCGAAGTAGGTTTCTGATAAAGTAGAAAACCCATTGCCTATAGTAATTGAAAAGTATGTTTCCAGAGCTCCACCTTGCCTCCACATTTCGTTTTGCATATTACCTTCTTTTTATTGTAGATTTAAATCAATAACGATGGACATTTACAGAATAAAATAGAAGGTAGAGAGCATGAGCATAACAAAGATCTAGGTTTTGTGTTAGGATGGCAGGTTCAATAGACCGATTAATGGTTTAATTGACATAATCATGAATTCATTGATGAAGATGATTGCTAATGTTATGAATAATGACTGTAATATTTCTTATCCTTTTCCTAAGACTGAATTCCCATTTTCATTAGAATCTTCACTTAGTAGTGTTAATTGAGTAAGAATGAAATTGCCAACCAAAACTTGAATCACATATCCAAAGATTATGAGAATCCAACTGCAAGTTTTAGATTTTGAACCTGATTAATTAACTAACCAGTTTACATCGCTTGGTCTTACATTATAGCCTCCAACAAAGTATGATCTTTCTATTTAGTTTTTCTGAATAACGGGTTTTGTAATAAAGAGTGCAGCAGCAGATTGGAAATATGTTTATTGATTTAAAAAATCTCTCAATATATGTGACAAATTACAAGTCTGAGAAATAGCTTCAATCAAGTTTCTAATAATAATAGTATTCAATCTTACAGTCCATCGTTTTGAACTTTCTTTATGATCTACTTTTGGATCTCCTTTTTAAAGTGATCCATCTTATAGACAAAACACAAAGAATCTAGACTTTAAACTTGAAATTTATCTAAGAGTTCAGATTTATTAAGTGTTATGACAGATTCCTCGACTTCTTAAAGTTACGTTAATGCTGCGATAATAAGTTCATCATTTAGTGCGAGCATCTCTTTAAAGTAAGCATCTGTGTATGCATACCAAATGATATATCCTAACATTGCAGCTTAACTCAGGACTTACAATAGTGAATAGTAGATGTCAGTGGTTCTAAGGATTGATGAATTAGATACATTGATGTATTCCTATTTAATGTTGAAGTAAAGGTGATAAAGTTCTTTGCACAAATCCTACTCATATTGCATTAAAAGCCAATTGTATTTGTAATGATTGAATATAAGCCAAAAATAAAACTATTATTACTTTATAGGGATTACAAATCAATCGAAAACAAAATGATAAAGATCTTTAGTAATACGAAATAGGTGGAGGCTCCATCTCCGGGATATGATATTGCTTTTAAATCAATTGAAATTGGTAAAGTTGAGGCTGCTATTGTTCCTCCACAGCAAGTGCATATTTCGCCATTGCTATTTAATTCTTGTACATAGGTGGATTTCTAGATAATCATCCATTTAGTATACTCTATGTGCAATAGCTAATTCGAAGTTGGGAGGAATTTAGAAAATATTAAAAGCATCGCCAAATTCTGATTTATCTAATTCTCGACTGCAATTGGAAGATTGAGTCTAATTGGTTAATTCAATCTCCATCTTTATTTATAAATTAAATCTAAAATTGTTGTAGAGAACTTTCTAAAATGACAATATATGTATTATTATTATTTAAGATTAAAAAATTTAACAGAAAATGTAATACACAGCCCCAATTGAGAGAAGACTTGTCTTTTAGCCATCTCAATAGATAATGCCATTAATGCATAGAAAAGAAAACATCTTTTCTCCGTTGAGAATAAGTCCATCAACTCAATAGCATTTCAGTCCTTCGTAACCTAAATTTTCGAAAGGGAATGAGTAACAGCAGAAGAGGTAGAATACCAATGATCCGGAGAAGGAGAAAGAGATAAAAATATTGATATAACACAATTAAAAAATGAAGGATCAGATCAATTAATAGGCTATTGATTACGAGAATCTCAAACACAGCTATGACAAGATGTATTAGGATCAATTAAGATTGATCAACGAATTGGAATAGATATCCAAAGTGTCTGAATAACAATTGAAGGAAATTAAAATAAAATAAGAAGTAATCAAGGATTTGCAGCATAAATTGGAATCATAATGTCATTCTCAAAATAAGAACCAAGATGAAACTCAACTGCTCAGGTAATAATTATAAGTAAAAGACTAAGAAATCTTCAAGTTCAAGGCAATATTAGAAGAGAAGCATTTGGAGAATCAAGAAATTCGAAATACTTTAAATACTATAAATCAGAAGGTGTAATTTATGACATAACAAAAAGATCAATAATATTAGATAATCGATAAATTTAATAAGGAATTATAGGACGAAATAACACATAAGACCTAATAAATACATGCAACTAGTCAGAATTTGAGTCAATCATAACAATAAGTTACCCAATTGAAATTCGAGGTTGACTCGTTGAAAGCCAAATTGCATTCTTAATAGCAATTGATGCCCTTGCAATAATTGCAGTAGAGATATTTGATGTTGTGTATGGAGAATGATAGATTGCATAGTGTAATTCAGAAGGAGTATGAATTAAAGAAATAAATGGAATTACAGTAGGTGAAATAGGAGTAGGAGATCGATTAATTGAAGAATGAACTGAAGAAGATTTCTGAAGAGTTTTCTCATATATAGTAGGGTTTAATATATGAATAAAAGAATATGTATTTGATAGAGAATTTAAAAAATTAATTAAATCATTATATTGATGAAAATGCACGATTGAATGTCATAATTAGATAGTAATCAAGAATTTGAATTGAATAAATTGAAATACTAAAACAATACAATATAACATTAATCAATATATATTGTTATTAAAGTTTTCTGGGACAACTTAATTTTCTAGGTTATATAATTCAATTTTTTCTTGATTTTCAAGTTCATCGACATCCAAATAATTAAATGCGAATCCAGTATTGGCTCTATTAATCACTTTGATTATTTGTTCATTCTTCTCTGGTTACTAATAAACCGGTTGATTCTTCTTTTTGGAGGCAACCATCATTTTCCTTAACTTCAAATTGATAGCCGAATCAATAGCCACAATGGTTACAATAACTAGAACATTCCCAAAATGAAAATTAGGAGTTGCAAATAAACTATTTATAATAATGGATCATACCTCTCTAATACAACATAAGCTTCAGCCTGACTGATATTATCCAATATGATCCATGAGATCAAATACGAGAGCATACTAAAAGATATGCTTCCCTAAAATGAATGATAATCATATTATTACTAATAAAGCGGGAGTGTAAACATTTGAGAATATGAGGACTTTAAGATTGCAAACAACAATAACCAATCCAAAGATCATTGTGCCTTAAGCCCACAGATGTTGCATGAATCCATTATCATCTATGAAGTTGGATGACATACAAAAAGTAGGAAAGAAACAAATGATGGATGTCTGCCACAATCCTTGGAACACCCAAAATAGAAATATCTTAAGATTGAATAGTTTACCCTAAGGGCCTTATTCGTAATAATTATATTAAGAATTTTCGGTTAGAGCGTCTGAATCATGTTCTTCATCAAAGACTCCATAGATCATGATTGGCAAAGCTGCATACAATATGTTGAATAGCTAATAAATGAATGTGTCATATAAGGATTAAGCAGAGTACATCGATAAGATTCCATACCAAAATTAGGGAAGCACAACCAAGATGTTTTTATAGAAGGTGTAACACACTAGAGTGCTGTTTCTCCTATAGGATTCCCTTCCATGATAAAACAATAGTCTTCTCAACTCTTGGAATTCTTATACACTATAATCTGCAGCTCTAGATGCTTATTGTCCTTCCACTCCTCTGATTCCTATTCCCACATGTGCGGCTGTTATCATATTCACATCGTTGGCTCCATCTCCAATAGCCAAAGTGCCCACATTCTTCTTTTGATTCCTGATCAACGTAACTACATCCTATTTCTGCTTTGGACTTACACGACAACACAGAACTACGTTGCATGATTCTCCTATTTGGATCATGTTTTTGCGAATGTGAGGTTTCAAAGAATGCAGTAAGGCATCTCCTGAGATTATTAGGGCATGTTAATTATGTGGTTACTTACTAATCAAGCCTATTGTCTCATTCAATTTCTCTACTACAAGTGATTCCATTTTTTCATCCACAACGTGTTATACCAATTCATTTGTGAGTAATTGACAAGAATATCCAATGTTTATGGCTGTTTCTATCTTATCTCCCGTTAAGACCCATACCTTAATTCCTGCTTATTTAATTGCTGATATTGTCTCTGCTACATTCTATTGCAATTTGTCTTCTATTGCAGTTGCTCCCAAGATTTCATAATTCTTTTCTAGTTCATCTTATAATGTTTACATTCTCTCTTCTCTATTTTCAAGACTTTATGCTACTTCTTAATACCTCTTGTTCCATTCTTAATATGTCTAAATATCTATTGTCCTTTTGCATAGAACCAATGTTCTTAATCCAACCTTGCCATATTCAAGTAATTTGTTTTCCAGATTATGATAATCCTCGCTCTGCAATTCCTTCTTAGACAACCTTGTCTCTGATAATAGAATTGAGTCTGCTCCCTTCGAATACAATATGATATTGTCCTTTGAATTTCTTATCTATACCACTATGGATTATCGTTTCCGTTGAGAAGTGAATTCAAACACCTCCAACAATTGAAATTCCAGTATATCATTTTGATATCTCACTCTCTTTATTCCATTCTCATCAGTCCCCAAAAACTCAAATCCCACAAATCTAGCAAAATTCAATAATGCCAATTCATCTGGAGATGTGGCATTATATATTAATTTATTATCTTTCAAATCAGCTATCACAGTATGACAAATGCTAAGCATTAATAGACAATCTTTCACTTGTTTGTGCATAAAGTGATTCTCATCTTAAATTGCCTCTATAAGCTTTTTATCTCTAAAATCTACATTCGTAACTTGTGGATATGAAAGCATTTCATCGTTGCTTAAGTAATCCTCTTGATTTTCATTTACATCACCATAATTTTAATTACCTCTTATTAGATTTATTGAATTTAATACATGATTATTTATTTAAATTCCATAATATTACACGTTAATGTACCAGTTTTGTCTGAAAATATATGTTCTACCTAACCCAATTCTTCATTCAAATTTGACGATTGTACTTTAGGTTAATTTAATCTTTCATCCAATGTTATAAATTTGCCTTGAATAAACTTTACCATCTCCAATGTGACCAATAAAGATATAGGCACAAAATTAGTAAAGATGAGAATCCAATTACCAAATCTAACAAAGAAGTTATAAGCTATATTATATTCATTATCAGAAGGCTCTATATATAAATAACTTAATAAATTCCTTTTATTATAAAAAGATATTGCATAAACGATGGATGCAACAATGCACAAGATTAATTGGGTTAAAAATATTATGAGTATAAATTTCTGCATTTGCTGTTCCAATTTGCTTCGTTTAGACCTTGCACTTGTTGAATTCATTATTATTTTGGTGTCCTTCCCTGTATAAGTCACCAATCCAAAAACATACTTGACATTTCTTAGATTACACCCTCTGAGAATGAAATTATTGAAATTCATAGCAGACACCTTCGATTATGAGGTGGTTGTTTCTCCAATGAACTAATAGAGATAAGGAGTGGGTGCCTAGTATTTTAAAATAATTCTCTTATCCTCCTAACCAAAGCAGTCATCTGAGGTATAAGTTTATAATAGATCAATGTGTACATTCTTTTGTTTAAGATTTGTTTCTCCGTCCAATGATTTGGTTTCTACATAACAGATACCCTTCTATTCACTGCTTCTGAGTATGAGGATGTCAGCAGGTACGACTTCGTCTTAATGAACTTTTATGATCTAACCCACATAGAGTGAACTCGAAGGTATGGACACAAATTTGTAGCCATCATAAGTCAAAATAGGTTGTCTATTTTCTTCATTGTCAGATTTACGACGTTTGTAATCCTCATAGAAATCCTTAGCTCCACTTATAAGGATAATAAAGCCTAGAGGCAGATAAATTGTTGGAACTCCAGAACTGATTGAAACTTCTGGAATCATTTACAGAGCCCCTATAATCTACTTGTAAGATTATTGTATTACCACAAAATAGATATTTGCTAATTTAGAGAATTGCTCGTATAGTTGTTTCGGAATGAAGTTGATTATGGTGTATTTACTGGTTTGGATTGAGTTATTGGGCAATTCGTAATCTGGACGATTTGAGGTGATCTTCCTATTTTTTGATTGAAATCTTTAAACATAGCTGCCTTTTGGATTTACATTTTCATATTTGTATTCTATAAGTTATCAGTTATTAACATTACCAAATAGAGTCGAAATTTGATATAACTTATCAGTCATTTTAATTTAATAATAATTTCATATATCATAATCATCATCATAAGGTTCATCTTCACTCATCTCCTTCTGTTTACTAGTTGAATTCTCATCATCAAATATGAACTCAAAATCTAGATTGCCAAACTTCTACTCCAGTCTTTTGAAACTGTACAATCCATTAGACATCATGGCTGAATATATCAAATAATCAAGATTGGTGATTGCTTCAAACCCATATTTATCAAGGGTATTTTTAATCTTATCTTTCTATACAAAGACATCTCCTTGTAATTCGAGTCTCTCCTTGTCATTGAATCCCAAGATGGTTTTAAGATCCATATTCTTAGAATTCTTCAAGAACTGCAACAAACTCTGATAATCCTTGAGGTATTTATCCCTCTTCAAAATTTCATCTGTGGGAGTGTTGATCTCCAGAAATCCAGAATTGGGAGCTATTAATTTTATTAATCGAATAAATTACCACAAATAACACCAATATCCCAATAGATCTACTCTTAATTGATAGTCTTGGGGACATCGACTAATTTCAAGTCTTTGTTTGTGATGATGTACACTTTCAAATGTTGAGGATGTACATAATCGGGTTCAATTATATCTGCAATGATTCTATACACACCTCTTTTTGTTTGAAGATCATGCACTATAATCCTTTAGCATCCAGATTCATCATTCAAGTCATACAGTACGTTCTAATGACTCTAATCAATCTGCACGTTATCAGGTAGAATCATCTTGATGTCTATTGGCATCACTTCGACATTGGTTTAAACTAGAATCATAACTGAATTCTTGTCCTCTAGATGTTGTATCAAAGGAAATGACAATTCTCTCAATTGATACAAATTCATTTTAGATTATGTTGTGCCATACTCTTCAACTATTGGGAAGTATCCTTCACTAAAAACAATTAAAAATATTAGAATACGTTTAAATCACCATTTTCCCTTCCAAAACACCTTATAATATAATTCTACAAGTTCCTTCTTGATCAGTTACATATGTCTATGCTTGTTTTGTAGATTCTTCATTCAAAATGACTTAAACTCCCTCGATTGGTTAATTGGTGTATGGATCATAAATAAATACTTATGTAGACTTATAACCTGAAATAGGTCTATTGGGATTTGATATAGCCTCTTATTTAGTTGGTTCCATGTATTCAGGTTATTCATAAGATTGCATAGACTATTATTAAGATCTTGGTTTTGGAGGTAGCGATTATTACTATTATTATTGTTATTGTTATTATTATTGTTATTATTATTTACTCATTTATAATTGAGATTGATTAGTATTACTGCCCTATTATGATCTTTAAGCACTAGTTGGTCGTGCACTGCTGGGTTTTTGTATTGGCTATAATTATTTGGCTGATTAAGGTGGCTTAATTGGTTATTGATCATTTGGATCTACTTCAAGGATCAATTTAAATTCATTGACTCCTTAGACTGCATCAAAATTCTAACTTAATTCTTTGTATCCTCTCTTTTAAATAGTAAAAGAGTATTAATTTGGTTCTAAGATGGCTTCATATCTGCCAGGTTCGATTTCTCTTGATAGCATACTTTCTTGCGTTTGAAGATTTGTTATAGTAATTTTGGCTTCAATTATATTAGAACCCTATTAATTAAATATTTTGATGTCCAAATATGAATGAGTTTGTTTTCTTAGTTTAATAACAACTTGTATAGTGTCATTGCTTTGTTCAGCCATTTCGACCATGTTAAATAGCAGTTGTTCATTTAGATAATCATTTGATTCTTGCACTTCAACAACATATACGTCAACAGGAACATCTTATAATTTGATGTACCCTTGATTATTGGTTTTAGCTATGATTTTTCTTTCTTTTGTGACAGTTCTGTTGGTTCTTTTGGTTTGTGAAGATATCCGTGAGACACTTGATTATGGTCTGTCTTGTCGATGTGGAATCAGAGCGACTTCAATGTTATTTAGATTGCCAGTGATGTTCTCACCAAAGCTGACATAAATTTCCAATGGAGCAGTGTTTAAATAATCACTGACTCTTTCAATGACTTCAGTGTAGTTTGGCCACATCTTAGTATTCAACTTAGAAAATACTAAGCCTTTTTTGACTTGATCTCTATTCTTGGAGCAGACCTGGACTTCAAAGGCTCCAATTCTCCTTTAAATGTAGAGGGTGTCGATAGAATAGTCATGGGGATCATAAATCAATGGTTTCAAGTAAACCTTAGCTGTAGGATATTACTAGATGAGTTCCTATTTTAAATTGGTGGCGAATGTATAATATTTCTCTTCGTCGTGTCTAGTTGATCCCGCATGCTGAGCACAATTTGTACTATTGACTGTTACTCAAATGTATACCAATATTCAATTGTCACAACCAAATCGCCATTATATAGATTCTCAAACTCCTTAAACTTTCTGAATTCGTCCTTCTGCTGCATTTACTCAATCTCTTAGTTTAATTCAGACAATTCCTTAAACTTTTTCATTTTGTTATTCTTCTGATGAATGACCACTAGACCAGAATCTAAATGCTCATACTTAGGTAGTTAATTGAAGATTCCTAATTTAAATTTCAACATGTACCTGGAGCAATCCAAGCCTTAGTGTGCACCTTTGGATCGTAATGATTATCTCGAAGACGAGAATTTGTAGCAGCAGATTGAACTCTTGTCTGTTTCATTTTAATTGTTTTAATAACTATATCAAATTTAACTAAACAATTCACATTTATCACGCTCTCTTGAATATCTTCTTTATTATAACTTGTTTCTCTTCTGGTTTCTCTCTAGATTCCCCCTTAAAACACTTTTTCGCCATATGTTTCTTCGCATATTTATCCTCCATAAACTGTCTTTTGCATTTCCTGCACTCCCATCTATACTCTATGAAAACAACCCAATATCCCTTCTTCACTACAACATCCGGGTGAATTCCACTTCTTTCGTACTAGCTCAAAGCCTTCCTCTTCTTCTCCAATAACTCAAAGATCTTCTCATCCTTATGCTATTTCATCAGCCCTTTCAAATACTTCTTCCAACTTATAAGTTTCCTCTTGGCCAATTCATAAATCTACGAACTACCCTTTAGAACTTCGTCCTTCTTAATCAAATCCATTCCTTGTTGAAATAACTTCTTTATCTAAACTTTGTTATTTTTTGACTCTTCAATACTAATTGATTTTTCATTTTCAACTAAAATGATTTCTACACTCGAATCATTGTTGTATTACATTATAAAATATTATGCAATCCTTAACATAATTTTCCATCATTTATATTATTAGTATTGTATATAATAATTTGCAATTAATTATAATCAGAATTATTTAAAGATAGTCTTTATGATTTTATTCTTAACTATTGGTTCCTTCTCCGCAAATGGAATAGACCGTTTTCTGCAATGCTTTTTCATGTGATATTTAGTTCTGTAAGCTGACTTGAATTCTTTAAGACAATACTGGCAATGATACACCTTAATAACATAGAAGGTCCATCTCTTATGTATTGCCATTTTTCCAGGATAAAATTTTGTCCTCTCATAACTCTTTAGAAACTCATTCCATTTTTATATTTGCTAAATCAACCAACCTTCTTAAGATCTCTTCTTATGCGATTTTAATAGTAGTTGTTTTCTGCTTCTGAATTTATTGACTAAAACAGTCTTATTTTGATTTGACTCGTATTTGTTTATTAGTTATTTGGATTTCTAGAATAAGTTTTGGATGCAATTCTTAAATGAGGTATTTTAAGTATTATGAACCAGTTAACAATATTAGCATTTGATCTGACAATTAGTTTTGTATTGTTGTATTTCTTGCAAATCTTATTGGACTTGAGTTATGAGCTCTTCGAGTTTGATTGTTTATTCTTCTATTTTATCTGAATGTTCGTATTTCATTTATATTTATAGTATGGACAATCACAATTACGGAATATCATTATTATAATAATAATTGTATATATTATTTTGTTATGCTAATAAATTTAAAAATAGTAAGTAACTCAATCTTTTCTTTTATTACATTAATTATCATTATTTGATGGGTTGGATGAGCGTTTCTTTTTTTACTTTTTGATTTTCTTTTTGATGCATTCTTCCTTTTGTATTCTTTCATTTACTTCATATTTTGAGTAAAATTGAAGTGGACTGGAAGAATAGGAAGAATGACATTCCAATAAACAAATTCCACAATCTATGCGATACAACAATAGATTTAGATAATCTTCTAATTCTGGGAATCCTAATGTAAAAATTATAATGATCACCATTCGTCTAAAATGAGCTCAATAAGATTGAAAGAATGCTAGCCGTATCAGTGTCCAAATAGAAGGTCTTTTCCAAGTGTTTGACTTATTCTTAATCGACTTCGTAGATATCATTAGCAAATATGATTCTCAACATGGATTTCATAATATCATTTTCTTTATTTTTACGCAATGCGCATTACAATTAGTATATAGCTTATTGAAACTAACTCATGATGATAGCTAACTCCATCTGTTATAAATTATATATTAATATAATTATTAATAATTCTATTCATAATAATTACATGTCTCATTTTTTCACATCGATGGAATAATTGATGAATAAATAAATAATATTTTTACGATATGAGAAAACACCTCATCTCTGAACCAAACTTTATGACCTCTCCATACACTGAGAGAGAAGAACACAACAGATAAAGTCCTTACTTTTACAATCAATGCATCTCCAATAGACACGTCGATTGCCAGGGAGAAGTGTATGACAGAAGAGATTTGAGTAATGCAAGTAAGGATAAGCAATTGTTGAAACCAGAAACGGTTAGACAGAACAATAGATTGAAATCAAAGCCAGCAGTAACAAGATTGATGAAAAAATAAATAATAACTAATTTTATTGAGAATAAAAAACTCTTTTATAGTGTGACACCCATGTAGCCAATCTATGATCAATTCAAATAAAGATATGAATAGAGAGAGAGGGATAGAAAGTTTTAGAACAAACATTTTGATAAGACATACAAACATCATTTGAGTAGAGCCATTCAATACACACTCCAATAAGTATTGAACTTCCTATCATTTGACGATGTCTTTAAGGTGAGATTGGATCGATAGGATTATGATAGATATCTGAGGAGATAACCCAAATTATTGTAAAATAGTGTCAGTGCTCAAGATTTGTTGATCCTACAATCAAATTAAATGGAAAATGAATTGACCTCAAATCGCAAGATTTAATTGATCAAGAATGTTTTCAGTGATCCCCATTTTGATGCAAAAGACAGAGAAATCTTGTATCAAGTCTTAAAATTTCAAATATCTCAAGCCCAAAAATAAGTAGCAAAGTTGGAGAAAGCCAGCATGGGCATAAAAGGATTGAATCGATTTCAAAATAAGAAAGAAGGTCATTTGGAATAATTGGCAATCATTATTGATTTCTTGTAAAATAATTATGAAAAATTAGTTAAGTTACTTTGATAACAATGATTTCAAATTGTGTTATTATAAATAAAGTTATCAAAAAGAACATATCCAGCCTATGGTTTCCAAAAGGGAACTTCATGTCCAGCTCCTCTTACACTAATAAATCTCAGCTATTTATTGAATTCCCAAGTCAATCCTCCGACCTGTCTTTGTTTAGGCTTCTTGCCTTCCATGAACCAAGCTCTCCATGGGTCAGTTTCCTATAAATTTTATTCCTTCACAAGCATTTGAATCCAATCCAAAGTTCCCGTAATAGGTACATTGCTGTCAACATCTCCACTATAGATCCAAATCTTAAGTCCATAATGCAAAAATTGAGAGTAGAATCGGTAAGATCCTTACTCATCTTCCTTGAAGTCTAAACTAGAACTACATGATCCCCACTTCATATGTTTAGCATGTATGATATCCTAGACAGTTTTATTATTTAACATGAAATAGTTGCCATATTCATAATTGCAAGGTAATTCAGTGATGCCTTTGAAATGCAAAAATCTCTTGTGTTTATTTAGATGATTCCTTTTATTTTATCCATTTCCTTATTACACATCAGGGTCATTATGATAACATTCACCCAACATGTTATTGATATCAACTCTTGAGTATTAAATTTTGGCCAATAATTATTTTTACAGTTCAATGCATCTAGGGGATGTGAAATCTAAACATAATTGGTCATATTTTTATCTATTATTATAAGAATAAGAGTAATTACTTGTCTTCTAGACTGAGAAATCCTCTTTAAAAATAAATGTTAAATTAATATTTGCTAGTAAATAACGGTAGCTATTTTAAATCTGTGCATTCAGAACCTAATGTACAACCATTTCCTACAAGAATTCCTTTGAGATTGATGGTATTCTTGGATTAGTTGATAATCAAGGATGCAAGATAAGGTATATACATGCCAGCATAGGATTCACCTCCAATATAAAATGGTCTATTTTCATAATTTGGGAATTAAACGAAAAAGTCCAATAAAGCATCCAAGGCATCCTAAGCAGCGGATGCATCATTTTAATATTTGGAAGGATTGGAGAAGCCTACTCCTTTGGGCAATTCAAGAAATAACAAATTAGCCTTTTTATTCCAAGCGTACGGATTGATGAATGACTTAATAGATTGAATGCAAATACTTCATTTGATAAAGGTTTGAATTAGAAGGGACCAATTTCATAGAAGCTACCAAATAGTGAACTGCAACCTGGTCCGCCTTGCATCCACATAAAGAGTGGATCAGAATCTGGATCTGATTGACTTACTAGAAATTAGTAATAGATTTGATTGTCATTCAAGTATCCTCCATACCATTTATGTTTATAATCAGATGGCAATTGACTAATTTTCTCATTAATGATTTCCGAGTAGCTTAGCACTACACACACTAAAATTAAAAAATAATTCATCTAACTTATTATTTATATATATTTTATTTTATTCTTTCATTGTTATAATTCCTCCTATCTCCCTGTTTCTAGCTGAACACTTCTTATAGAGTTTCCCAACAATATTTTGGCTTTGTTCCTAACACTCTACTTTCTCCATAACAAAAAATTGATCTATCTTCTGTGTCGACAACTACCAAAACTATGTGTCTTGCCCTCTCTCAAATCATTAATAACATTTTTAACAAAGTCAGAAGATTCAATGATATTAGCATCTTTTTTATTGGCTATCTTGGATTTAACACTCAAAGGAGTGGCACTCAAGAAGTCTATTTTGGTTGATGTCAAAGCCAAAGATTAAGTAAAATAATTTGTAAATGCAGCTGTTCCACTATACACACTAACAAATGGACTAGGCAAATATGCTAATCCAGAAGAAATAGTAATCACAGCTGCTTTCTTAATTCTATTCTATAATTTGTTGATTAGAATTTTAGTCATCATTAAAGTTGATAGTGCATTCACTCTTAACATCATGAATGAATCTTCCATTTTAGTTTATTCGAATTGACCAGTTTCTACTACTTCTGCATTGTTGACTAATATAGAAATATCTAAATATTGAAGCTATTCGTAGATCTTATTGTAAAAGTCGACTTCATATCCTTAATTGAAATCAGCCACTATGAATTTAGTCTAGACTCCAAAACCCTATAATTCTAAACAGAGTTAATCCATCTACTTTGCATTCCTACCTATTATGGCAATATTGAATTTCTATTTCGCCAATTAAATACAAAACTCTTTACCAACCCCATCTGATCCTCCTGTCACTACAGCCCAAGATTCTTCTCCGTATCTTGCCAGAAGATTTCTTCTTAATGAAGGTGTCATTGCCATCGCCAATTGTGATAATCTTCTTAGTAAATACAAAGATCCTTGTAATTTTATACATCTCCATATCTACCTACTCCCATCAAGAATGTTCTTAGCTTTCTCTTTCTGTATAAATGCTGATAGTATTTATGGATTAATTTGCTGTGTATTTGCACCAATGATTAAAATCCTCTCTTTAGTAATTCCATCTATTTACCAATTAAATAAATAAATAAATTATGAAATCCTTTGGCTTTTCTAAATTCACTCTGCTAGATAGTCTTGTTAATTATAAGGCACCTCATCTACCAATACAAAACAATGATTGTATAAAGTAAACTAAATCAAAATCCAAAGAACCTTTTCACTCTCCTAAAAATGTGTAACTTTAATAAGAGTTCCCTAAACATCTCAGTCAATCCGTAGAACTTCAGAATGAATCCTAAGAATAACTATAACCCAAACGCAAATTAACCCTTAATCGAATAAGAAATCAAAGTCTTGGAGCACCATCCATAAATGTCTATTTAGAACAAATCGAAATAGCCAAAGCGAATAATCGATAAATTAAACACGACATGAATAAAGTCCTTAATAACGTAAGCCATTACGTTTCCTAAATCAAAGCTGATTAGAAATCTAAAAAGTATATAATTGCTCCTACTAAAAACAATTTCTCAACTGATAACAAATTTAAACCAATAAACCTTGATAGCAAAGATACTATTGATATGATTTCATCTAATCAATCTGTCAAAATACCTTAACATGATATTTCAAGAAGTTGCTTATCTGAATAGTCTACAGCAAGAAGAATGCAATCAGACAATCATGCTATCAATAATCTCATAGAACTAATCAAAGAGTTTCATTCCAAATTGGATTAACTCAAGAAATTATGGTAAAATGATTAAAGATTAGAGAAATTCATCAAATTTCAAGTTTCACTTAAACCTGATTTATAAGCCATATTCTTTCCAGATGAAGATACTAACCATATTCATTTGAATTTCCAATAATTACAGAAGTTATTCATTCTACCAAAAGTGAATTAATAAGGAGAAATCTGGAATTTCACAGCTGGATATTAATTGAGAGATATTGCCAATTCAATTAATAAGATATTGGAATAATAAAAGTTTTAAGAACTGTTTGATATCAAGAAATCAATTCTAGAATCTTCTAAAACAATCAAAGAATTGGAACAGTATCTCATTATATCCTAATTAGGCATAAGGTCATTCAAAAATATTCATTAAGAAAGGATTACAATTACTTAAGCTTTCAAAGTCTTCTCATGAGCAATGAAGATAAGGATAAGAATGTTGATAAAATGGAAAGACAACTTGGAACATTAGGCAAAGTAACACTCTAAAATAGAAAAATGAGTAATATGATCAATGATGCAATTCATCATTTACAATAGAAATAAATCAATTGAATTCGTATGTTATGTTATTTATATTATTATTATTTTATTTATAATTTTACATGAACAACAATAACAATAACAGATATTACTCTGATGATCCAAATCAATAACTTCAATACAATTAATAAACTCAATTTTAATAAAATCCCTTTGATTAAAATAATAAATAACCACAACAACTTGCCTATCAAATTGGAAATGCTAATCATGCTGCATTCAATAATCCTATGACGATCAGTGATTCAGCATATACTGGTTTAGTAAGCTCTGCAGATTCCGATATTCGAGCAGGATTCATTGTGAAAGTCTATGCCATCATGAGCTTTTAACTTTTAATCACCTTTCTGTTAATTTTGGCATCTTATTATTTCCAAAATGTAAGAAATGCCATCATCAACACATCAACAATTTAATACACTCCATTAACTATATTTTGCTTTGTAATCGCCTTAGTCATAGAAATAGCTATCTTTTGTTGCAGAAAAGTAGCTAGAAGAGTAAACAATTAATCATATCATATAGGTGCCTCTAAACTACATATTTCTTATTATTTTTACACTATGTTTTAGTACAGTTGTGGCTGCACCTTGTATAATCTGCTTTGAATTATTATCAAATGGAGGTAAATTGACAATTTAAATATTATTAAAGTTCAATTAGTCATTATTGCAGCATCGATCACTTTTGGAATTACTATTATGCTCACAATATATGCATGGCGTACAAAATCAGATTATTCAGCTGCTGGTTGATTACTTTATTTATTATTCAAGGACATTTCTGCTTTGTTTTAAGCATGAGTATATTGGTTATGTGCATAATTGGCCTATTTGTTCGAAATATTTGGTTCCATTTATTCATCTGTACTATATGCGTCATCATATATGGAGGCTACATCATCTATGATACTTAACTTATTATTGGCAATCAGGTAAAATTATAATTCAAATTTTAGTCTAATTAATTATCTATTGATGATTATATTCTTGCAGCTATGTTATTATATATCGACATTGTGATCTTATTTTTGAGAATACTTGAAATTTTAATAATTATTTTTGGAAAAAGTTGATTTATAAATTACACCATATATATAAATTATATCCATTTCATTTTATTAACAACATCTGAAAAACCTGCAACATCCTTAACATAAATAGAATATTATGAAATTATAAGAATCCATTCATTTAATAAAAGATTAATCAAATGTATTTCAAATCTCTTGTTTTACTATTTGTATTTGAATACTTAGCGTTTCTTTAATTGTTTGTAATCATTATAAATTTAATAAAATTTCTATCAATTATATGGTTCGTGTGATAGCTTTTGTTAAAATGACAAAACTCTAGGATAATAGTAAAATTATTTTAAAATTTTCGATGCAATTCAGAATTATATTAACATAATAAATGAGAGTTACAATGAAACTTAATGAAATCAGTTAAACTCTAGATTTATATTTAATATAAGTCTCATGTAAATAATTATTGAATATGTATAAATTAGAAGATATAATACATTGTGAAATTGAATAAAATTTTAATCTTAATGTAAATCAAAGTATCATTTCAAATTTTTAAGAATTCATCAAACGTATCTTCAAGACTGCTGTGCATAACAAAAAAATGCATCAAATGAAATAATGGGTTAAATTCCATTTATTTGAGGCTTAAGGCTATTAATCTATAAACTGCAATTCTTCCAAATATTGAAATTGCTTCAATTATAGTTTATGAAACTAGAATATTCGCCAAAAAGATAATAGCCATTAAATATATTTCTGATTGAGCTTCCAATCTAAATTATAGTTGATAATTACCTAATTCTGTGAATAATAAAGAGAATGATATTCGGCAATATCAATAATATGATAAGAATCAACGAACTAATAATAGCAGGAATACTTCTGAATCTATATATAGCTTCAATAATTTTATAAACTATTCTCAGAATAAAAACAATAATAGGGTTAATGATCATAAAAGCAAATATCAGGGGTATGTTAAGA